ATGCTCAAAGAGCCATTTGGACCCATTTCCCACAGAAAAGAAAACACCAGGAGCCACAAAACTTAGGCTGGGTGGGTCATGTGACTGGGTGGGAGTGGGTGACATCCAGTTGGCTACACCCACCCAGGTTTTCTGGCTCTGTGTTTTCTTTTCTGTGGGAAATGGGTCCAAATGGCTCTTTGAGCATTTAAAGGTTGCAAATGACCAGCTGTACGCAAGGAATATAAATCCTTCCATTCCCCAATATCCAGTCAAAGCTGAAGAAGCTTCTTGGAGGAGAAGCGAAACGTCTTCAATGGAACACCAGAAAGTCCAGTTGCCTCTTGAAAAAGCACCTTTGGGACAACCAGGACCTGGATTACTGAGAATCTGCATAGACATTAAAGCAGGCTTGTCAATAAAGGTAACATAAAGGCTGACATTTTACTTTGGAGTAGATTCATCATCATTATTATTTTTAATTAAAAGAACCTTTGTGCTGGGCCTGAAAGAAAGGGATGTACTCAAAGACTTAGCAAAATCTACACGCAAGAGGTGGTTGAATGTCAGCTCCTGCTGAAGATATGATTTATTTATTTATTTATTTATTTATTTATTTATTTATTTATTTATTACGTATTTGCTATAGCTTGCATCCCATTCACTCCAAAACGGCTGTGGGCATCTCAGATTGTGCAATAGAAAACATTCAATGAGAATCATAACCTAACCAATAGCCCCTAATTGCACCAACCAATGGGGGTTGGTCAATCATCAATACCCCAATTGCTTTACCACTTTCCCATGTAGCTCTACATGACTTCTATTTAGCCCCTGGGAACCCCTGCGAATGGACTACAGGCACCACAGATCAGTCCACCAATTTCAGTCAAACGAGACACAGAAAGATGGTGGTAAAGGAGAAGAATTTACATTGCCTGCCTCCTCTGTTCCGGGTAGTTTTCAGTAACACCTCCCCACCCCCACCCACCCCGGATGATCACGAAGCTACACATATTTTGGATGCAAAAAGATGGAATTCACCTGTACTAAAGCCTGAACAGCTGCCATTTGTCCAGATGTGCTTATGCTCTCCTCAGCTTCTCCCAAGCAGAAGGAATCAAAGGAACACGATGTTTCCATATTCACAAGGCAATGTCTGTTTCTTGCGCTGTATTCAACCAGATTAATCAAAAGACCCAAACCCTTAAGGTTAAAAGAAAAAAAAAGAGGGAAGGAAAATTAGAAAAGTGCCCTGTTATTCCTAACTTAGACATTGATTGTTCAAGTGGACCAGACAGTTGTAAGGACTTGGTAAGATGCATATCTTGGTAATCTTGCCTATGAAATTTACATTATAAATGTACATATGACTGAAAAATGGATCTTCTGCTTTGCAAATGATGAACTCAGAAGCCTCCCAGCAGTTTGAAAGTTAAACCAGAACTGTTTCTTCCACGGAGGCAAAAAGCCACAAAAGGCGATGAAAATCTTTCAGTGCAAGGATGGGACCAAACTGGCTTCAGCAGAATGTTAAAAAGAAAAAGGTTGCCTTTAGGATCTATCGTGCAATGCAACCACAGAAACAGTTTATTTATTTTCCAAATACTCATGGGTGGAAATGAGGGTTTTTTTTTTACTTACCAGAACCCGAATATCAAATCTCTGTTCTTGAGGTAGGAATTTTGGAACCTGAAGCACACAGTTCAGAGCGGTGCCGATGAGGCCCTCTTGCTCCCCGGTTTTGGTACTGCCCCACTCTGCAAACATTAAAAGTGAGGAGAAATTGATGAGTCTGTTTTATAACCAGAAACAGTCCTAACTTTTATCCGAGTCCCTCTTTTCATTTCCCTCTGTTGTAGGGAAAATATGAAAAGGGAGTATTATGCGTGCTTGCCTCCTTGAGTTACTAATAGTAGTAGCACTTATATACCAATTCATAGTTCTTTTACTTTACTTTATTGTCATTGTACATATATACACAGTTTACATATACAACAAAATTCACATAACAGGCCACAGAGACCAGGCCTAACACACATAATAATCCCCAAACACACACACACAAACACCAAAAAATTCCTTGCCCCTAAACCACCCAAGCATCCACACAACAGACCAAATAGTGCTGTCCAACAGCTCACTGATGGTGGCCCTTCAGTTCATTGTTGAGTGCAATTATAGCTCTGGAATAAAAGCTATTCAGAAGACGGGTGGTCCTAGTTTTAATTTTTTTGTATCAGAAGGCAACAGTCTAAAAGATTGTAAGTAGGATGGGAAGAGTCTCTGAGAATGTTATGCAACGTGCTCAAACAGCGAGATGCGAAGATATCATCCAGTGCTGATAGCTGGAGCCTGATGATAATCTGGGCAGTTTTAATGATTCTCTGTAGAGTTTTTTTTGTCCACTGCAGAGCTGCTCCCATACCTTACAGCCCTCTAAGCGATTTAGAGTCAGCCTCTTACCCCCAACAATCTATGTCCTCATTTTACCAACCTCGGAAGGATGGAAGTCTGAGTCAACCTTGAACTATTCAGAATCGAACTCCTGGAGTGAGCAGCGAGTTACCCTGCAGTACCACATTCTAACCACTGTGCCACCATGACTCTTTTACTAATAAAGTTGGGGCAAAAATCTAAACAATCAATGTCACCCATTTTTCATTTCCTCCCTACAGATGAAGACTTTGCTCTCACAAAACATCCGTTCTTCTTTGGAGCATCTCCTTCAGTCCGTATCCCAAGACTACAAATTAGATGTTATTTTTGTGACAAAAAACGTTGCCTCTAACAAATGGGCGAAGCTAAATGTAAGACACGGAGAGGTCCAGAAGGGTTAAAAGGACCTTCAAGGCTAACAGGATTCAATTGAGAGATCAACCCACATTGAGGCCTTTGTCTCCATTTTTTCTTCTTCTGATGCCTGAATGGCCTTTGACCAGTTGATCCCCAAAGAATCTACCTTCGTGGGTTACTTTACATCACTTCACTAGCAACAACCCCCCCCCCTCCCCTCAAATACTACTGCCATTTTTGAGAGAGAGAACCAACAGTCTTCGCCACCGGTTGCCTCTTTCCATGCTTCCTTACAAGAATCAGCTACTTACCATTATCATTTGTCAAGTTGAGTAAGACTCCGATGATGGCTCTCATACAGTCTTCGACTGCCTTACCCACGTGGTTTGTTACATTCTGGTAAGGCAGTGGCTTACTGTCTGCAAGACAGATGGTGTCTTCTGCTCGGTTGTATCTCTGGATTAGCTCCTCGCAATGCTGCAATGCTCTGGAAGATTAAGAAGCCAAGAAGGCACAATCCAAATTATCCCTGCATCACCTTCCTTAAAGAAATGTTTCCACCAACAAGTTCTGATTGGAAACTGAATGTCATCTGTCATGTTGCCCTAATACAGCGAGCCACAGCAATGACTGCTCACTTTTCACCTTTTCCCTGTAAATTCAGAGAAAAACCAGCACAGAAAAGCTTCAAGACATAAAACTTTCAAAGTTTAAATATGCACTGGGCCCTGTTGATGAGTCTTTTAACTAACTGTTATACCATTAACATAAATATGTTTTAGAACTTACTTAGCTGAAGAGACGATGAGCTGTGAATCCTTATATGCTATTAAATAGCTTTGATTCTCTGGATTGTGAACTGTTACCTGGGAAAAAAAATTAACTGTCAAAAGACTAATTTCTTATGTCTTTCTTAAATGAGCAATGCTTTTATTTTGGCAACATTTAGCAGCCTAACTTGTAAACAGAAAGGGACCAAACTCTAATCCAGTGTTTGAGCTGCACAATAACAAATGGTGAAGATTAGCATTATTTTAATGTACTGGAAATTTAGGATTACAAAAACATAGCGGCATGGGGGAGGCAGAAACATGGGATGTGCCTCTTGAGGCCACAGAGGTCCTTTAAATCAGTGCTTCCCAATCCTGCCAACTTTAAAATGTATGGACTCCAACTCCCAGAATTCCCAGGCCAGAATGCTGCAAGTGAACAAGGTTGAGAAGTACTGGTTTAAGTGAAAGAGTGAGGACCTGGTTTAAGGCTGTTTATGGGATGCTGACTATGTCTGTACCTGCATAGGGATCATTAAATAGGCCAGCCTTCCACTAGCAATTACAAATCCGATGTGAGCCAGAATCACTTCAAGCCGCATCATTCTTCTCAATCATTTCCATTTAATGACCCCATAATCCCTTGCAGGGTGGAGTCTGGGCAACTGAACTGGAGCTGAGTGATTACTGGCTGGATGCCCTTCCTGTCACCAATGTGGAGTTATATTCAGCAGAAATATTCTCATCGTGCCGAAAGAGAGAAATACCATATTTTTTGAAGATGCACCTTTTTCCCTCAAAAAAGAGGGTGAAAATCTGAATACAGCATTTTTGGCCTACCAAACCCCCACCCCCTTTGCAAAAATGGACGTGCAAAGGATTTGGGAGACTTGCAAAGTGCTCCCGAGGGCTGGGGAGGGCAAAAACAAGCAAAAAACGGGCCATTTCTGCTTGTTTTTGATCAGCCCCCAGAAGCATTCTACAAGCCCCCCAAAGCCTCTGCATGCCCCCTTTTTTTCAAAACGGACCTTTTCTGCTTGTTTTTGCCCCCCACCCTAGCCCCAGGAGCACTCTAAGAGCCTTCCAAAACTCTGCATGTCCCCCCTTTTTTGTGAAAAATGGGCTGTTTTTTCTCCACCCCCCCCCTTCGGAGCACTCTACAAGCCTCCCAAAGCCTCTGCATGCCCCCTTTTTTTTGCAAAAAATGGCCCTTTTTTTTGCAAAAAATGGCCCATTTTTTTACTCGTTTTTACCTCTTCAAAATCATGGCGCATCTTATAGTCCGGTGCTTCTTATACTCCAAAAAATACAGTATCTGTCTCTACTTAGGATCAAGCTCACAACCTCCTGATTGTGAGGCGAGAACTCCACCTCTAGGCCACCGCACCCCTCGCCATCATTCTTGACAATGTTACTTATTATTTATTATTTTTCAGCAGACCCACTTAAAAAGAAAACCCTGAAAAACCAAAGCTCTGTCACACAGAGAACTTCAGGAAGCAGAACCAAATGTTTTTCCTCAAGCCGCAGCGAAGCAAAAAGGCATACCCCAGCCAATAACGAGGCATCATATACACCACTTTCTCCTTATTCTGGTTCAACATCCATTTTCTCCAGGATATTTCATACTTACACTTTCCAAGACCCGTAAACATCTTTCCGCTCCCCAGAGTGAAGCAACCAATTTCTCTTCATTCTCATCGCTGCTTAAATGATCCACACACTCTTTAACTGAGAAACAAAAGACGGGTGTGATTGCTAAGCCAGTAAGACATTTTGTAAGATTTTTTTTTTACTTTCCCAAAATGGTGTAAGATTGGTATACGTTTCAGTTATACAACTTAAGTACCTTTGAAGGCAAAATTAATACCTTTATCTACAATATGATCAAGACCACCCAGAAGTCGCAGCTCTTCTTTAAACCAGTCGCCTGCCCGCTTTGAAGTGAGAGAGAGAAGGGTCTCCATGGCCAAATGACCAGTCTAGAAAACATACAAGGGAAATCTGCATATAAATACAGCCAAAAGGCAAAATCCTCCCACAAAATAGAACCACTGGCAAACTTATATGTGTTTCATGGCAGATTCCCTCCATGTACGATCCATGAGCCGTGGTGGTGCAGTGATTAGAGTGCAGTACTGCAGGCTACTTCTGCTGACTGCTATCTGCCTGCAACTTGGCAGATCGAATCTCACCAGGCTCAAGGCTGATTCAGCCTTCCATCCTTCCGAGGTGGGTCAAATGAGGACCCAGACTGTTGGGGGCAATAGGCTGACTCTGTAAATTGCTTAGAGAAGGCTGTAAAGTAGTATATAAGTCCAAGTGCTAGTGCACTTTTCTATCCTTCCTTCCTTTCCTCGCAGTGGTTAGAACGCAGTATTGCAGGCTAACTCTGCCCACTGCCAGCAGTTTGATTCTTACAGGCTCAAGGTTGGACTCAGCCTTCCATACTTCCGAGGGGGGTAAAATGAGGACCCAAATTGTTGGGGGCAATAAGCTGACTCTGAAAATGCTTAGGGAGAGCTGTAAAGCACTATGAAACGGTATGTAAGTCTAAGAGCTATTGCTATGTTGACTAAAAATACACTGTATATAACTGTAACTGCTGTTTCTCTGCATTTTCATGATTGTTTTTAAAAAAAGGTAAACTCAGAGCTCACCGTTATGTTTTCGAGATCCAGATGTTTATTATGAACAGTTTCACAGAGCCTTCGGATTTTTTCCTTGATTTTGTTCATGTCTTTTTCATTAAGCAACTTGGAGGAGGAGGAATCCTGCTCGAGCTCCAGAAGTCGGATCATTAAATCTAAGCTGGCTCTGTCTAGATCCATGTTTAAGCGATCTCTGCTCAAGATATACATTAAAGCTGCTGTACAAAGCGACAAGTTCTTCGGGCAAAAGAAAAAGAAAAGAACATGAAAAAAGGAGTAAACCTTTGAGTAGGAGAATGTGAGACTTGGTTTGCTGTTTCAAGATGTTTTAGAAGAGCCAGATACAGCTAGCAGGGTCATGAATTCACAACTCAAAATGAAAGCTAGCTAGGTTTTCCTGACTTGGAAATATTATTATTGTTCTATTTTACTTAAAATACATTTCATTAGAATACAGCTCTACCAGGTCACTTGAAATAAGTAACTTCTCCTTATGTTTAGCAACAGTATCAAGGGCAATTTCATGTACATATTTGCATGTATGTGCACACATTTGATACAAAGACTTCTGTACAAAGATTGTGAGATAATTATCCCCAAAATCTATACCACAGATATTTTTATGCTCAATTTAATGCTGAAACATTACATCTGAAGCATGCGGCGCATACTCAAAAGTATTCCTCCCCTTCAAAAATTCAAATCAAGCTGTTCGACAGCGCCGTGCCCAACCTTTCTACATCGTGTGGTCCTGAATTCAAAACACCCCGTTCTGACAAATCTTTCAATCTTCTGGTCCTTTGAAACACTTGCAATATGATCAAAAACGCCCCACTTCCCATGCCAAACAACTGTTTCATACTCAAAGCCAGCGTTCTGGACTAGAGACCAGGCACTCAGAATTCAGAGTTGCACCAATCCTGCCTTTGTGCACCGGCAGAGTTTCCAGATTGCTAGCAGGCTGATGCTTTCAAGAGAGAAGCCACCCGTGATATCAAGAGTTTCAAAACTGTTACTATGGAATGTGACTGTGCTCTCCTTGGTAAAGATAAAGCCTGGAACTTCCTTGTAGAGGAAATATTCTGATTTCCTGCTTTACTAAAAAATATATATTTGTTTTAGAGATTAAAAAGGCCCCCATACTATTGGTATTCCGAAGGGCACTTTAGCAAGAGTGATCGACACAACCTTTTTGTTGTTGTTCTTACCAGGGTCTGTTTTCTCTTCCCTCTTTTTTTCATTGTGTTCTTTTTGTGTTTGTACGTTTGTTTGTTTGTGTGTGTGTGTGTTGCTTTTTTCTTAAATGTTTTTAACAATTCTTCAACTGTTGCTAGGAGCTGGGCGGCATATAAATTTATCACATTATTATCATCACATTGTGTGTTAAAACACAGGAAAGCCCGCAAATGGTATCTTCAAAGATTATTTTAATAGTGGTGACATCAGCAGCAGAAATGGGCAGAAAGTAAAATAAAGTTGTAGTCTTAGTTTATGGTTCCTAATCTTTCAATACATGCAAAAAACATTTTCCTTAGAACAATAGTCAACTGAAAACAGAGTATTGAAGTACCACGAACGACGTGAGTCAGAGATACCTGGTGGTGCTGTGAGTCATCCAGTGTTTTGAAGACCATCGCAACCATTCCATGTGCTCTCAAATGCATTCGGAAACTGGGCATGGCGCACTTAGTCGCCAGACTGATAACACTAAAATGAAAGAAAGAATGAGTGAATGAATCAAGATTTAATGAGAACTGAGCAAATAGAAAAGGAGATAGGTACCAGATCAAAGAGAGCTATTTATGCAAAAGAGAAAGCAGTAATATACTATTTCCAATCAGGAAAAAAATCTAAAAGTATATCATGTTTCTCTGAAAATAAGACCTCCCTGGATAATAAGCCCAATTGGGCTT